TCAAAGCTTGCTTGACCTGATAGCGGACACGTTATCAACCTTCAACAAGCCTTGGGAGTCCGTGCTCTTTTATGATTGGTGATAATTGTTCCGTCAACCAGGCTGTTGGCCGAAAAGTTGGAGCTTTGCCTTTCATTGGCTGTGCGAATCACCGTTTTCAGCTGGCGGTGAACGCGTATCTGGCTGATCATGAACCCATGTTGGCCAAGATACACGCGCTCATGAAGCACCTGAGCACCATCAAGTGTCGTGCTGCCCTTCGCAAGGTGACCTCTCTAGCGCCCGTCATGCGCAACGCAACTCGTTGGTCGAGTACCTTCAGCATGGTACAGCGGTACGACAAGATTTGTAGCGCTCTTCTCGTGTTGGACCATGCTACGGTGGCTAAGCATGACATCGCGCACTTTCTACTGACGCCAGAGGAAACCGAAGCCGCTCGCTCATTTCTCAAATCGCTGCATGAGCTGAATGAGGTGAGTAAGGCGCTACAAGACTCGACTCTAACACTGGTGGGTGCACGACGTGCCTTTGATGCAGTGTTGCGCAAGTACCCCAGCATGAAGACCCGGCTGGCAAGTGACGCCTCCGTCGTCAACAATCCCGCACTGGAGAGCGGCATCGTGAAGATCATTGGTGGTGGTCGGCTGAATGCACGCGAACAAGCGGCGTGTATCAATCTCAAGTGCAGCAGCGACGACACAGTGGTGAATCTAGCAGTTTCCAAGTCATTTCTCGCGTCGGCCTTCAAGAAGGCCCCTGTTACGCGCTCCCCACCGCAACACATGTCTCTCGAGTGGGTTCCACCCACGTTGAACGAGTGCGAGCGTTTCTTCAGTCAAGCCAAGCTGGTCTGACCGACCTGAGGAAAGCCATGGACCCTAACACTCTTGAAGTGCTCATGTTTCTATCGTACAAGAAAACTGGTGGGACGCATTTAGTGTTAAAGCTATCAGGCAGAGTATGCGTAGTCAGCTTAGGGAATAATGCCATTATCATTCTCTTGGCGTAATAGCAGCAGAATATATTGAGTATGGCATATTGGGGAACCTTGCCGATAGCCCTTAACTATCAGATATGGACAACCTGACGCCAAAATATGTTAAACATGCTACTTTTTCTCGACGTTCAGCTTACATTTTGAGGTCGGCTAAATGTTGAGTGAGATAACATCGAGCGAGTTACGCAGTACCCTGGAATTAAGCCGTTGAGGGCTGTCCATCCCTAAAGGTTTTCCTAGTATTAATAGCTTTTCTAATGAAATAATGACAATTCTTGCCAGCCTTAGGAAAAGGAAACTAGGGTGCTTTGCTTTAGGCTGGGAGGACTGGAAATAGCGTTGATGTATTTCATGTAACAGCGTTAGTGTGTGCAAATGTTGCTTCGAATACATTGTTCTGTTCTCAATGCTCTGTCATAAATAATAAGTCCTATAATATTTCTGATGTTTCTTTATCATGCATATTACGGGTTTGAAGT